TCATCCGATTCGCGTACATCACTGTGTTATAGCATTTGTGAACTACATACGTCATCCAAATAATCGTCTTAATGAAAAGATGCATGTTACACATATGTTCCTAATACCGACTTTTGAGTTTACAGTCATCCTTTTAAATAAGAACATCTGTATAGATATAATTATATTTCAATCTGACCGGACGACCATATACGTCTCTACCTTTGCAGATAACTACATACGTCGTCGCAATGATCGTCTCACCGAAAAGATGCATGTTACACATATGTTCCTAATACCGACTTTTGCGTTTCCAGTCACCCTCTTAAATAAGAACATTTATATAGGTATAACAACATTTCAATCTAACCGACCGCCCACTGCAATGCGTTCTCGTAATCGTTCTATTCAGATACAACTCTACGTTAAAGTCTTTGTGAACTATAAACAGTGCCATGATGATCGACTTGCCGACCAGGCATATCTTCCGGGTATATTCCTAATACCGAATTTTCCGTTTCAAGTCACCCTCTTAAATAACATATATTTTATAACAATATGGGGAGTTTCATGAAACATTATTATAATTACGCACATTTGATAGTTTATAATTATGAATATACCTGTACTATATAGTATAGCACATTGATGATAGCCGTTAATTTAAAATTATTGACAATATTTATTTATTTTTAATAAAAAAGTTGAAATGTGAATTATTAGGTTACTGATATAACTTTAATTTTGAATAATTGACAATATTTATTTGTTTATAATATATTATATAATGCATTTTTAGTAGAAAAAATAGATGTATGTAATCATTTATTATAACTTATAGGTTTTCATCAAGTATTTTAAAATGTTTTAAGTGCAATCGGCCTATCAACCCTAAAGTGTATATAGCGTAATTGGTGGAGCTAGATGAATTGGGTCCGCGATAATTTGGGTTCGTTTTGAAAGCGGTAAGTTGAGTCCCGGTATAAACTGGTGGTAGGTAAGTCGGGTCCCGGCTATAAATCATTGGCGTATTTAGGTCTAAAATATTAAAAACTTAAAACTTTAATATTTCATATTTATATAATTTACTTTTGAATAATTGTTACAATAATACGTCATATTGTTTACAGTGTGGTACACCGTCTGAACACCAATTAATTCTACGCATGATGTTAATGTGTGTATAGACAGGTATATTGTAAAATTTGACGTACTATATTACTTAGCGTATTACAATTTTTTCCCGGTACACAATTTTTTTGATCATTTATAGTATTTATACCATATATTATTTATTGAGAACATAATATTATAAAAACCACATACATTTCAATTTATATATTTTTTTCCGGGACCCAATTTACCAATCCCGTAATTGGTCTATTGACCCTAAAATATTTTGAGCACAATCATTGGTATATAAATAGATAGTTTTAAGTAAAGTTGGCAAACTGACATAAAGTACACTGTGTTAAAGTCTTTGTGAATTATGAAGGTACCAGGTTGATCGACTTGCCGGCAAGGTGACTCTTATGGTCTACGGATATGTCCCTAATTCCGAATTTTACGTTTTCAGTCACTCTCTTAAATAAGAAAATCTATATAGGTATAATTGCATTTCAATCTAACCAACCGCCCACTGTAATATGTTCGGAAATGATTGTTGGAATAGGTATTGTGTTCATAATAAATGGTATTCATACTGTTCGCGTACAGCACTCTGTTAAAGTATTTCTGAACTACTTACATCGACGGAACGATCGTCTTATCGAAAAGATGCATGTCACACATATGTTCCTAATACCGAATTTTCTGTTTCAGGTCACCCTCTTAAATAATAATATCTAGGTATATAGCTAAAGTAAAATATGTTATTATATTATTTTCATATTTTATTTGAATGTTGGATTCTGTTGGTAATACCACATTTCAACAACGAATGAATACAATGAAATTCTTCATCTCCCCCACCGTCATTTGTACAATGACATATGGAGTGTCCAGAGACACTGTTCATTGAGGTCATTCTTTTGGTAACGGCCATCCCATCCCAACTACCTGTATAGTTTCATACAGCCGCTGACGCACACTACTGGTAAGTACTGAAAATTATGTATTAATGCAGACAATTATATCACAATATTCATAATTAAATCATTATTTACAACATATATATGTAATAGTTAATAAACATTAATAATTTTAATCTAATACGACTTAAAAATGAATTTATATGTATTTGACTGTTTCAAATTTTTTGTGCATTTATGATATTTTGAAATAAACGTAGTAGACACCCAATTGTAGTCACGCGCCATCGATAACGATCGGAAACGATTTTTTTGTGAAGGCCTGCATATTTAAGCGATAATTCAATTGGAAATAGTGTACACTCTCGCGACGTGGTCGAATGATTTTAATTTACTCATTGACCAGGGAAGGGTGATAAATTGCTATTATTCTTTACTGATCAAGCATCATCTTACATGTGCTTATTTTATATAGTTGGTCTTCATTTTTATAAGTGTTGAAAAGTATAATTATTTATATTCGGTAGACGTGTAGACATAGAATAAGATATAATTTTATTTCATACGATCTAGATTAGTATTTTGATCATGACTCTGAACATTCGATTGCTTGGTACCTAACCTATAAAGTCTATTCGAAATGAGATCGTACCTCGGTAGCGACCAGTTTTCGTTCGCAACGGTCAGATGCCACCACGAATTTTTCCCACCACGAAAGATCGTAAGGCTAGCGCTGTAGAACAAAGTCACGCCCATGCGCAGAAATCGGCCGCCGAGGTACGATCTCATACCGAATAGACTATAGTCACATGCGCAATAAACAACGATACATATTACCACCACCGCTTGAGTTTCATTACAGCCTCACTGCATGCATCACTGGTATAGCCATCGGCTCAATACGTTTTGATTAGGTATTTTCATCTGAACACTGAATTTTTGATTTATGTTATAAACTCGGCATTATATTATAACGAGATAATTTTCATTGTAATTTTATTTTTTTATTTATTGATTAAAATTTATTTCATAATAATATTAGGGTGTTGATATCTTCGATGCAACAGGATTGGGCCCGGCTGACCTTTTTTCGTTCAAAAAAACGTAACTCGATTTCACCCAACTAATTAGCACGATCGAGTTCGTTTTACCATTTTACCTGTACAAAACGCAACAAGATTACGCTTCAATACATTTATGTATTATATATATGTGTGTGTGTGTGTATGTATATAATATATATATGTGTGTGTATACGTATTTATGTATTTAACGGTGTTTCCGAATTTCGCGCTAATTAATATCATTATTTGAGATGAATACAATTTATTAATTTTTAGTGCATATTTTTGTTATTAGCTTACATTTTTGCGCATTCTTATTTAAATAAAAAATTGTTAAATATCATCAAAATAAACATAAGTTTCAAAACTTTCCAGCATATAATAAAGTAGACTAAAATAAATTATAAATATACAAATAATTGCGAATAGCAATACATAAAAATAATATAAAAATTTGATCAAAAAAAAAAAAAAAAAACTAATAAGTATACAAATGATTTTAAAATATGTGTTTTAAAAATACTATAAAAAGTTATATAAGTTATAAAAGTTAACAATAAAATACTATCTCGATTAATCAAGTGCACGTACTAAAATACCGGGTTATAAATATATTGGAAACCCAAGTCTGATTTTTAAATATATATATGTATGTGCTGAATATATAATATATATAAATTAGGGACACATATATATAAATGTATATATATTGGAGCGCATTAGTGTTACAGTCGTAAAATGTTATCAATGTCCATTATTATTGTTAGATTCTATGATGAATTATGTTTATCTGCAATTACATTAATGGCGATGACAAAATCTTTTACTAAATTATAATTATTCATATTAAGCTAATTTGTACATTTATATGTACATTGAAAATTGGAATTTTGGTAAAATGTTTTGAAAAAATATTGTATTATATTTCACTGACAAATTAAAAACGTAATGTATTCTTTTCTAAATTTGTCATTTTAACATTAAATAAATATCAACTATGATCAGAGCGTAGGGCGTTATTCGAATGCAATTTTATTGAGATGATTATTTAGATAAAATTTTATTCGAATAATTTCAAAGAAAATTATTCGAATTGTTGTTCGTTTATTTTATTTGAATAAACATGGTTGATAATTAAAAAAAAAAAAAAAAACAAATATTTATCAATAGAAGAGAGTAAAGAATAAGATATGTTTTTTTTTTTTTGATCATATTTTAATATTAATAATAATTTAATAATATAATAATAAGAAATATATTTAATAATTAACAAAAATATTTCGTATTAATTAAAATATGAAAATAAATAACTTATAACAAATTGATTATAGAAACCGTCGAATTTATAAGATTTATTCGACATTTTATTTATTAATAAAAAATTATTTATCAAATTGGTTTATAAAATAAATGCAATACCATACGCGCTACCCGCGTTTCATGTGTTATTCTAAAGGTACGCACATATAGGAAAACAGAGAAGAAGTATACGCTCCACTACACCACTGATGCTATATGATGTTAATTATGATATAATTACCTAATACCTATACATTTAATGAATAATAATTGTTTAATAATCTCATTATAAAAAATTAATTTATTAATCCTAATATGAGTATATATTTTATTAATACATATACTATAGGATTAGGATAACATCTACAATCTACATATACAAAAAATATGTATATATTCGTACCTACCTCTTATTTACGCTGCATAAAGAAAACACTAATTTTTTTACTTTAATCACAGTTACATTAACTGTGCTCAAATAACTGTTGGTTTGATTCGTTTTTTTTAATTTCGCATCACTATATTTATGATTATAAATAATATATGAAATATAATATGCAACATATGACACTGATATCCGATTGAAAAATAACATACCCATAATTTATGCTTTGCAGATCTGCTGAATACAACAACAATGTCTTGTTGGTATTTTGATAAAGACGAGTTACTTCGAACCCCCTCTGCTCAAGATGGCATACCGCATGAGAAGGAGACCCAGTATCGTCAAGATGGAGCAAAGTTCATCATAGATGCTAGCACTAAGATGGGCTTGGGCTACAACACGATGGCTACTGGTGTTGTTTTTTTTCATCGTTTTTACATGTTTCATTCGTTCAAAACGTTCCCTAGATATGTGAGTCTACCAACCTTTGTATTTTATTAATGGTTCAGCCGTCAAAATAATTAATTAAAACTTTCAAAGAATTTATTGCCTGGTGATTATAAAAAGTATTTATGTTTGACAACATTACCTGTCACTTCAAAGGCGATCATGTAATGCAATGCAAATCTCATCGATACTAACCCCTATTTACATTGTTGCGGTGGCAGTAAATTATATCTGGCTGTATTTTGCTGCCATTGCAGCAATGAACTTATTATTTATATTATTATATTGCAGTATCTGTAAACAATATAACATTAAGATTAGTCGATTTAAAGTTAAAAATTAACACAGAAGTACTTACAAGTATAACAGGTACATGCTTTTAACATGGCTTTTGGAAACCATTATATGCTGAACTGGTATCTAAACCGTTTTGTTTGTTTTTAAATTTAATGCCATTACCTGTAAAATAATTTTTTTTACATATTTTTGAACTAATTTTTATTATTAAATTATTAATTCTTAAAATAATATAATTAATAAGAAGAAAGTAAACTACAATGTGTTATAGTCAATTATTTTTTGGTATGTCTTAATTATTCATAGTTTTTATGAATTTTTTGTTATCTAGTATAGTATTAACTTATTGAACTACATTATATAAATTTGATGTGTGTGCAATATTTTATTTCAGCTTACAGCTTGCTGTTGTCTTTTTCTTGCGGGTAAAGTAGAAGAAACGCCAAAAAAAAGTAAAGACATACTAAATTTGGCTAAAACAATATTACCTAAGCACAAATATAAAAACTTCGGAAAAAACCCAAAGGTTAGTTTTTTACTATTTAAATATGTAAAATACCATTTTAATGGTTTGAATATTTAAATATTTTAGGAAGATTTATTGATAATCGAGCATAAATTATTAAAAACAATTAAATTTGATTTAAAAGTTGATCATCCATATCGATTTATATCAAAATATGCTAAATGTTTTAAAGGTAGGTAATATTTATTATTATTTATTTTTCATTTTTAATATTTATATCGTTTTAATTTTTATTCAACAGGTGATCAAACTAAACTGACTAAAACAGTACAAATGGCTTGGACATTTATAAATGACAGGTAAAAACTATCAATTTGACTTCAGGGATGGACTATCTATATATCATATATATTTTTAATGTAAAAATAATTTGTAATTTGATTGTTAAAAAAGGAAAATAAAAATGAGAGTCTATCTCTGATCTTGATCAGTTAATTACATTTGTTTCTAAAGTAAGAATTATATATTACAGCTTATGTACAACACTTTGTCTTCAATGGGAACCAGAGATTATAGCAATTTCATTAATATATCTAGCATGTAAACTGAGTAAATTAGAAATTGTAGATTGGCAGGATCGTACTCCAAATCAATTACATTGGTGGGATATGTTTGTTGAAGGATTGAACAAGGATTTAATTGAAGGTTAGTTATATTAAAACACTAAAAATAAAAAAAATATATTAATAGTTTTACCAGAACTAAAAATAAATTAGTAGAATTTTATGCACTATACATTTATTAATTAGAATAATAATCATAATGGGTTGTTGTGCTTTATTTTTGGACATTTGTGCATTGATGAGTTTCAAGTTTTTTTTCAAATGATTTTTAAGATTAGCATATTTTTCTTTAATTTAATTTGAATCAAGTCTGAGTGATCTTTTTTAGTTCACCACTAGTTTAAATAATATTTTACCAATTATTTAAATTTTTGGAAAAATAATATCGAACTATTTTTTTTAAACAAAATACGAAAAGAAATTATTCACCTTTATTTTTAGACCTGAACTACCATATGTGAAGTATTATGGTGAATCTTTCTTAATCATGGAATTTGTAGTTTGTATTAAAAACATAAAATATATTCATTGAAAATAACGTTAACATTGTACAGGTTAATAATTTAAAACCTATAGTCTTGAAACTAGCTTAGGGCATAGCCACAACATTTTAACGATATTAACTGCTATTTTTAAAGAGGCTGCATTTTCAAAAGTTTGATCAATGTAAGAGTAAAAATTAAAACCTTGCTTCTATGTAAAAGATTTTTAGCAGTTTTAAATTTTCATCATCGTAGGTTGTGAGAATTTTTTTTGCGGTATATCATGTATAATTTATTAGTCAACTTATAAATTTATATTTTTTTAGATATATGTCATAAAATTCTGGATGTTTATTCAAATTCAAATAAGGAAACGTCACCATTACCCCCAAGTCAAGACAAATTAATTGTTCCAAAGAAAGTTGTACCCTCACAATCCATTAATCAGAAACTATTGTTGCGAAAAAATGCTAAAAGATGCAGTGAGTTTTTATTTATGCACTATATTTATTTTGTTGTAATAAGACTTTTAACGGAATATTTTAGATCTATAGTGTTTGAATGTTTTTTGTATCATTGTTTTTTTTTTGCAGTGCTCACATCTGAACAAGAGATAGAAGCAGCTATAAACAAACATGTGAAATTAATGACTACATCGGATACTTTGCTGGCCAAGAAATCATTACCCATGCCACCAGGAATTAAACCATTAATTTCTAATGTTACACCAAAACCGCAAAATATTCAAAAACCATTTTTGCCACCACCACCCTTACCACCAAAGTTGTTATTAGAACAGTTGTCCATGAAAATAATACCTCAACTTCCATTAAAAAAACCACCTCTACGTACAACGCCATCATCACCACCACCACCACCAACACAACCACCGCCACCACTACCAACACTTCCATCAAACCAACCCTTTTCACCAGCACCAAATCAAATGTTAATGCAACAAGATGTTTCTACTCAATTGCTATTACCAAACATGCAACCGCAACCACCATTATCACCATATCACTTTCTTCCGATGAACTCTTATCTTTCACTTCAAAATACAGCTAAATCGTACGCAAACTCTAAGTTTTCTCTGTCTCAGAATATGATTTCTTCAGTGCCTGAACAGTATCCCCCACACGAAACGATGGGTTCTATTCAGTTCATTGGTGAATCTGTTTCTCAGAGACAGCTTTATGGTGAAAATTACAATCAAAGTATAAACATGACACAGAAACAACAACAGCTATTAAGTGAATTTCATAGGCAAGAAAACGGACAAAAATACAATGACAATCGTGTATTTAATCGAGATGGTGTCTTTGTTGGTGGTAACTATGGTAATGGATCTCAATATTTTGTTGATGATGGTCCACATGACCGCAATAAAAGTGGTCCACATCATGTTGACAACAGTAGTCAACTTTATTCTCAGTCTCGACACAAAAACAGACAAGTTCGACATCATCCATATCAAAGACGATAGTGTTGCTCTTTTATAATGTATGTTTATGCACAATTAAAAGTAATTTAGACAAATATTTTTAAGATTTCAGATGTATTCTGTAACTCATGTCTTTTGATTATTGGAATTTAAGTATATAATAATATAATAATATATCCATTAACTTTTATCTCATTTATATAGTATACTATTTTGGTTAATGACTGAAATGTAAAGGACTTAATTCTAAAATTCTAAATCTTGTAAATAAGTTAAATTTACATACATCTTTATTAAGTTACAATTGGTGTATTTAAATGTTTGTATTCATATATATTTTTTAAATATAACTAATAAATAATTATTAACGGGCTTAACGAGCATAATTAGAGAAATGTTCTGCATAATTCATAAAAACAATATTAAATTATATTATTTTTTACATGCGGTTTGATTTGATTAAAACTTTCACAAGTATACCAAGTGTACTATACCTAGTACACTAACACCTATTTTCTGTTAGAAAATATTATTTATTATTAATTTAACAGAGATAAGATTATAAAAGATAAAATCAAGAAAATAATTTGAAATACAATAGTTAAATTAATCAATTACAAAATAATAAAATTAACTAAGATAATCATAAAAAAACATTGTCTAAAACACTTAAAAGTTTTATTTTAATTATTATTCAATTACAGAAATATTTAGTTCAAAAATTGTTGTAAATAATTGTGCACCATTATACTAAGATCTATGGATGTGACTTAAAAAGAATTTAAATTAAAAATAGTTGGTGAAAAAATAAACTTTCTTACATAATTAATTACATAAATAGAGTTTTATTTAAAGATATGAGGTTAATTTTTAATATGTTTTTTAGGTAGCTGTATAAAACATATCTATGTTGTTCTCAACAATTTTTAATTTAAATAATAGAAATGAAAATTTTAAGAATATGTTCATGTACAAATTATATTTAATATAATCTTTTAAAATTATTAGACCACAAAGAAGAAAATATATAATAATATTAGAATCAACATTGAAATAAATGTAATGTTGGTTTGAATGATTTTTTTTTCAATTATTATTAAAACATTTTGAAACACTTTTAAATATATGCCGCTCTAAGTAGGAATTTATAAAATTATGTAGTTTTAAATATAAATTATTTTAACCTGGTATATTCTTAAATGTATTTACAAAATAAAATTTAATATAAAATGCAAATTTTTAAACCAAATTTAATTGTTATAATCATAGTTATAATATTTTGAAAAAGTAGATAATACAAAAACATTTATTTAATAGTTTTTGAATAAATTTAAGAAGACACTATATAGAAATTTGCTGTACCTGTTTTATAAGTACGTAAAATTTAGTAAATTTATGTTCAAAATATTATGTTTAGCTTCATTAGTTCAAAAATTAGTGGGAATCGACCTAAAATGGAACTTGATGCTAAGAACTTTTTCTAGGTTTGTATATGGCCTATGTAGGTTTTTACTTTTTACGATAATTCAATTTTTTGGGTGAGTTATGAACATTTTTAATTTATTATAGTTACATATCTAAAATTTGCTAAAAAAATTAACTATAGTAAAAAACCATATAAAAATACAGATTATGTTCTTACCATCAAGTTTCATTATAGGTTGATTCACTCTAATTTTTAAACTAATGAAGCTAAACCTATAATCTGATGAACGTATATATGCTATGTTACGCACTTATAAGTCGGAGACAACAAATGTCTGTGTAGCGTCCTCTTAAGAAATATACATTTATTTATGTAAAAGTAAATAATGGCTGTATTCGTTTTACACGCCCAATTTTCAGTGATAAGAAATCGATGTTAGGTCTTGAATTAATGGTTTTAAACGAATTACATTTAGTTAAAAATGAATCTGACTGTAAAATAAAGATTTAAAAAAATAAATACAAATAACAATTAGGTAAATATAATATTATACAAATTTAACCTGTATTTGTGTAATTTTATAATATAAATAATATTAAAATTTAATTTTCTAGTAAGTAAAATTCAGATGAAAATTAAAAAAATATTTAAGTTTTCAAAACACAACATTTGATTTTTTTATTACTCAGTAATAAAACAATGATTTATTACCCTACTATTAAAGATGATCAAATGAATAAAGAGAAAGAATGTAAATTCAAATTAGGTAGAAAAAACTAAGCACTCATAAATATAAAATTAGTGTCTGATTGTTAATTATAATTGGTATTAGTATAAGTTATATTATTTTATTAGACTTATAAAAATTATATAAGCTGTGACAGAGCTCTCTTTAAATAAGATAATCAAGATTTTAGTAACATATAAACCCCCTCCCCCAGTGGGATATTTAAAAAATGTTAGTTAATCGCATTTTATATTACAATGCAATATTTTAAGTATAACCATTCATAACCATAATTATTATTGGATAACATTATAAGTATTTTTATTGATGAAGAAACTTTACACGAAATATTGCATTATATAATATTATAGGTACCTATACTTATACTGACGTCAATGCAAAAAAAATAAATGACATTTATGGCTAAAGAAAATTTATTACTATAATAAACAAAAACTTGCTTTTAAACCCCTTAACCCTACTATCTACCTGGGCACTCCACTTGTTTTTCGTGTGATATAATTGTAGGTAGTATAGACTTTATATAAATACCTATATACACGTATAATGTATAAAAAATAATATTTATGAGTAGTTTGATAGATAAAAACGGCATACTAAAGTCATAGTTACATAGAATATATTTATTGTAATATATCCAAACTACAATTTATCACAGATAGGTAAAAACGGTTTCGTTATTCAAAACAAATGCCCGAAAAATAAGTGTTATATATTTTTAATATATTGTATCAGGCGTTCCGGTTAATTATTAAAACATAACATATATTAAATATATAGTATACACAATATGGTACACCCTTCTTAGTCTTTTGTACGTTTATTAGATTTGATTCGAGTGTTTATTTTGAAGTAGTACATTCGACTGTAGTTTTATTTATAGTATAACTACAGTATTTACTTTATTTGTACCTACTTTGTTTAAGTAACGGCAAACGTGTTCTCGACTAGGTATTTTTTATTTTGTATTCAAGAGATAGAAGTATATCATTTTGTAATTGTTCTTTTTTTTGTCAAGCAGGATATAAAACATTTTAATTCCAGTGCACCTGCAGTTGATTAACTAATAACTAAAACATATGAAATTTTGTTACTACCTATTACCTACATAATCGACATTCATAAAGCTCGCTTTTGTCATATAGACGTCGAAAACAATAATTTGTTAAACGATTAGTTTACTTAACAGTTTGGTAGGTATATTTTACTTAAAACGTATCTAAAAATAATATAATGCACATTAACATTTCAACGAATAACTTAAAAATTACCACATCATTTACGAGTGTATTCTTTGCATCTTTGCCGACAACTATTATGATTTATTTTTATTATATATTATTATTGCTTTAATATTGTGCATTTGTAGAGTGTAATTTGAGTAAAATATAAAAATATATTTTATACTTTACCAATTTCATATTTAATTATGTTTATCTGTGATTTTTAGTGTTAAATCCATAAAAATTTGTAGATACTAGATACTAATAATCAATAAAAAAAATCATTCCGTAGCATGCTATTAAAATTGTATTTTTTTCTCATACATACATACCAACTTTTTAGATTCTAAGGATTGGAGCGATGTAAAATTTTACAATGATGTGTTAATGTTTTTGGTGGTATATTGTATTACACGTTTTTGGTAAAAAAAAAAGTGCATCCTTTTTAAACATTAAGAGTGATTTTTGATACTATTATTACATAGTGTTCAGAGAGATGAAATAAAAACTTCGGTACCTACTCAACATTAAGCGTTTGCACAAGATTTTACATTAAATGTCTGACTGTTTGTGAAGTATTAAAATGTTACAATAATACCAATAAAAAATTTAAAAAATGTTTTAATTTGTAATTTTTTATAATACAATAATATACAGCCATTTTAGTGTTATACACTAGATCGAATTAATATTCATTTAAAATAAAGCATTTTTTATATAATTAATATACCAATTATAGTAAATAACTTATGAGTCATTGATAATTTATCAAAAAATTTTTTATAAACAAAAAATATTGATATATATTGGCAATGGCACACAATCAATCTAAATGTTTTAAAAATTTCATCATGTAGTATAAAATATAATAATATACGAAAACAATTTCCAGTCTCAACCAAAAATATTTTTCGATGACAACCAAATAGGTAACTAAAATCTCTTTACTCGCTCAAACGTTTAATTTCTTTCAAATCCATTCTAAAAACGTTATAAAAAAATGATAATTTTAGATTTTCCGATTCCGGTTTAAACTTATGTGAAATATTGTACTAAAATTTTAAGCTTATGCTATTAAAATTGAACATTTTATACATTTCTAACTATGTTAAGTGTAATTTGCAAAAGTATTAACATCACTGTTCGACGTACCTACTACCATACATTCTACGATATTAATTAAATAATTATGGAAACATATAAATAGGTAGATTTAATTATGGTAAATAAATATTGTATAATTACTTCATTATACTAAACATTGAAACATATTAAGTTTTATATGATACGAACAGTTATAAAATATATAATATGTATAATGTAAATGCAGTTTTAAATTTAAATATCAAGTCTTAACTATAAAATTGATGTATTTACTATTTACTAATTCAAAAAGTTAGTACATGATTCCTCCTAAGTTTTTAATTTGTATTAAAATATTGATTTAAACATAATCAAAGATTCCTACTCATAAATAAACATATCCTTTTGCATAAATATTTGATCAAATTTTGACAAAATATTCAAAAATTTTGTAAATTATTTTTTTAGGTTATAACTTATAAGCAATTCAAAACGTAAAAAGTTTTCCAAATTTAATACACAAGGTTTCAAATAATTAATTTTATGTAATCAATTTTTTTTTTTTCTATTGCACCTATTACACATTGTTAAAACAGGAAATATATGATCATAAAATTACCTAACATAAAAAATACTTAAAATAAATATATATACAATAATAAAGCTTAAAATTCGCATA